AAGAGTAGTCTCTGTTCGTCCGCACACAACAAAGGATCATCAACTAGCCTGGATGCAGATACCTCGCAGCTCACAGGAGAGAGAACACCATGCGTGGCAGAAGCCCTCACCTCTGGAAAAAAACCAGCTGGGGGTTACACACAGCCAGTGCCAGCAAATAAGCTGGCTCAAGGTCACAGAGCATCTTTGGCCCAGAGGTCTGAAAAACAGGATGAACCTCAGGACCTTCCACACGTATTTGGCATCAGGAAAAAAAAAGTTTACCCAGATGTAGTAACCATGATTGTAATACGCCGAAGGGACAGAAGTTTTGTGCTGTGGCTGTTCACTCGGTTCCCTCCTTGCTGCTGGCTGCAGACTGAGGGACATAACGAACGAGTGACAAACACAGCGGAGGAAAAAGCTGTACTTGTATTTTGACAGCAGCGACACAAATGCAAGGTTAACGATGACATGTACCAAAGACTGGGTTAGCAACTCCACAGCAGCCACACTATTAAAAAGCCAGCCATGCTTTACTGCCATCATCAGTCTGAGTCAGAAAAATAGGAGATTTTGCAGCATCGCGGCAGCATCGCGGCTGCCAAGCTTTACCAGTCTTGCATTGCCCATGTTTTGGAGAAATATGTACATAAACTGTACAGTTTTAATGCAATGTCATATTCTCATTGAAATGAAAGCTACAGTCCTGAAATAGCTAAGCCTTTCTTAATATATTCCATGGTGAAACTACATTAATTCAATGTTATGATAGGAAATTTAAACATGTAACAGGCATGAAATTCAAATTTGCAAATTTACAACTGCAACTTAGCCCCCTTGCACATAATGAAGTTTCTTGTATTAGTGGATATGCTACTAGATTTACACTTTCGTATTTATGACCAGCACAGACAAATTATGGTTGCTGCAGGAAACATAATTTTGAATTTCTTTGCTGTCATGGCTTAAAAATCACAGTCACATTCCTTCCCTTCACCAAACCAATATTTTTCTTAGTTATATATAGTAAATTCTATATACACATACATGTATACACACACACATATCCAAAGGAGGAAATGAAGAAATTTCAGCAGAGAACTTCTATTAAGTCTGATAAGCAGATATACGGATATGTTCT